CAAATAATTAATAAAATGAATACTTTGATGGCGACGGGATATATACGACCTCCGACTTCAAAGGAGCCCTTCTTGAACATCATAACGGCTGAGTTGTTAATACACGTGCCCTCAGGGAAGATGAGAATCGGCAACTTATTGGGGTCCTCCACGTGCTCTCTGAGCCGTCGAGTGACCAGTTCTCGGTCTGTGATCTCGAATCTCTCGAACCAGATGTGAGACGTCGCTCGCGCTAACGCTCTCTGAAGTACTCCTAAAAAGCCGCCCTGTCTTTGGCCGACCAAAGCGTAACAGTTATCACAGGCAAGAATCGCCACATCCTTTAATACAAACAACACTTATTGTTAGCATTTATATCGATTATAATCATTAGTTATAATTAGGATGTAATGAACTCACTATAGGACTGGTGTGATTGGCGACAGTAATGCCGCCCTCTTTGGCCATATTGTGTCTGTCATGAAATGTGATGATTCCCGAAAAGGCTCGCGAAAGGATTCGGAAACACATTAGACTCACATTCCAATAGATATAACGTTTAAGTCTTCCGTCGGGAATACAACCGGTAATGGCTGTACACAAAACCAACCAAAACACACCGATTATCGTTATTATGACACGCGTTGGCATCAAAATCAGATATCTTATAAGACATCCGATGCCCCACATTATCGTTAACCGCAATGATATGTACTGATAGTTCTTATTAGTCCGCGTTAACAGATTCCATGACAACAGTTCTGGACAAACATCACACAAAATTAGTTCGTATTGTATTCAATGGTTAAACCAATACCTTCGGCGGCGAACCGTTTGGTGACTTCGTCGTCAACAATGGCCTCAATGCCCTGTTTTATAAAATTCATGCCATCAGACAAATCAAACTCTTTCTTCTCGATCTTCAGCTCCATTTCATGCATAGACTGGTGTTTAGAGTCTTTGTCCGACTCGTTATTATTGCGGACAAAATCACCGCCGATGTTGTTACCAACGGAACCATTACTTCGACTATTAATACCATTATATTTTTCAGTTTCAAAGTTATCCTCCAATTCGTCGCGACTCAATCTCTTCTCCCTTTCAATGCGTTTTCGGCCAAACTTTGGGTCAAAAAAGTATTTATAAATAAAGTGATAAAAAGTGTGGAAAGAAATAGCGTTTAATCAATAATTACCTCAAATACTGTCAAAAGTATATAAATATAAAACTTTCGGAAACCGATGGACAGACCGAGTGATGCAAATACAAGAGAGACCATCAGAAAGAGACCAAATGAGGGAATCATTGCCCACAAGACCACAACAATCTTCTCGCCGATTCCTCCCATCATTTATTTCGCTCTTTAATTGAATAAATAATTTATAAATCAATTCATTATAACATGAAATCCAACACACATTTCACTGTCAAATGGGATGACACAAACATTTGCCAAAAATCATACAAAAAACTTGTTTTACGTGTAATTTCATTGCAAATTAGGGATTGAAATGTGAATTAAAGGCAATTGAATGACAATTAGTGGCAATTAATGACAATAAAGACATACATTGAAGGCATGGATACAATCGACGGTCTAATTGATGGCCAAATAAGTGATGAAATGATTGAATGATTGAACGTTTGATTGCAATTGAAATGAATTGAAAGTCAAAACAAAACACAAATGTTTGAGTGAAGAGTGAAGTGACGGCCAATGCGTTCACCTCTACCTCACAATTGAGTCAAACATGCAGTCAATAGATGTCTCTGAGAGTGCACTCAATGCACATCCCTTTCCTGTTGTGTAGAGATTGAGTGAAAACACGTTTGAATTGATTTGTGGATTAAATGCCTCCCAAAGCCAAGAAGACAACACCGGCGGCCACTCCCGCGGCCGCCGCTTCGCAGCCGACACAACCCAAGGCTGCGGCGAAAGCGCCGGCGAAGGCGGCCGACAAACCGGCGCCAAAACCCGCGCCCAAAGCCGAGAAGAAGGACACTAAGGATAAGCCGAAAGCGGCCGCAACTCAACCCAAACCCAAAGCCGTGACTCAACCCAAGACATCGAAGGGTCAGCCGTCGGCCTCCAAAGCGAAGGCAAAGGCGTTGAACGCCTCGAAGAAAGTGACGAAAGGAAACTTCCAGAAGAAGAGCCGCAAAATCAGGACAACTGTTCACTTCCATAGACCACACGTCAAGCATTTGCCCAGAAATCCGAAGTATCCGCGAAAGAGTGTCCCTCACAGACCACGTCTGGACAAGTACTCAATCATTAAGCATCCGCTGACCACCGAGTCTGCGATGAAGAAGATTGAGGACAACAACACATTGGTCTTCATTGTGAACCTGAAGGCCAATAAACCGCAGATCAAAATGGCTGTGAAGAAGTTGTATGACATCGATGTGGCGAAAGTGAATACATTGATCCGACCCGACGGCCAGAAGAAGGCTTACGTGCGTTTGGCTCCCGATTACGACGCCCTCGACGTCGCCAACAAAATCGGAATTATATAAACATTTTTTCCGTCTTTTATGAAAATGTATTTAATATTTGAATAAAAATCATAATTAAAAAGTGAATAAATGATTGAACTTTAATACTATTTACTCTCTATTTATTTATAATTATAATTAAAAACAAATTTGAATACAATTTGAACTCAAATTATTAATGGTTTATAGATTTCTATTACAACTAAAAGCAAATTTATAGATAATCCTAGACTTCGAGATGTCGTCCCGATTACACACGAAGTGACCGCCGATTGGCCTCTATTTGGGGTACATTTGGTCGAAGTTGTCGGGAATCTTAGTGTTGGTCGCTTTGGCCAAATATAACATTCCCACTGAAATGATAATGTGATAAATGTTATGAATTGGCGGCAATTGTTTGCAATGAGTTTCAAACCTCTATTCTCCTTGAGTTTGTTGAGTCGCTGCTCTTCGTCCCAAATGATCTTCTTCTGTCTCAATTGGATTCTATGCTCTTTCTCTCTCTTCGTCAGCGTTCCTGAAGTGAGACAATACACACAATTGGGTACTCATTACACACACATGGCATCAAACAGTGGATACATACGGTTGTGTTGCAGTCCGTAAGCGATTCCAGTGATCAATAGAGACCACCGACAGAACTGGAGGAAGAGAGTGATCATCAAAACACAACATGAGTTCATTGAGTGAATCCGTTTGAATGCATGTATTGAAGACATACCCGAATCAATGGCGAGACCTTTACGGGAGCTTTGAGTTCAAGAGCGGGTAAATCCCATTTCGTGGCCATTATTGCAGTCAATCAACGGTTTTGATCACCAAAACAAGTCTTAACCTTCAGATCAACTCAATTGGTGTCCGATTGTAATGGTATGCGAACTGAAGGGTCGCTCAATAATAACGTCCAATAAATGGATTCAAACGTGAATTGAATTGAAATAATGTTTTTGTATTGTTTTTGAAAGATTGGTGTCGGAGGAAGTGATCTGAAGACTTGTGACCGCAATCACTGACGAGAACCGATGCCAACAGTAATACTCTTAGACGTGTCGCTATCGATGTGTCGATTGGTGTCATTGAATGACAACCACAACGACAACCAATCGGTTCCGACACCACAACAAAGCCATCTGAAGAACTTAGCCATCCATGGGTTGCAGGCATTGCTTGACTACGAGTCCCAAAACGCGAGACTCGAGTTCACATCACTGATGGTCTTCTCGAGTCTGTGGCAGATATTAGTGAAATTCACGCGCGATTACGATCAGCTGAAGAACTCACTTCACGACATCGAGCTCTTCGACAAAACCAAATTCATTAATGGTTTGCGAGGCGTCAAGAATATGGTTGTCGAGGAATGGGGTTCTGAGATGTCCTGTAATGTCATTCTCGTCACCGACGGAAACGCCGCCATTAATGCACACCTCATGGCGAACGCAGCCGATGGCAGCGGAACCACCGATTCGGCCGAAGAGGACATGGATGTGCAGAGTTGGCCGCTTCCCTTCCCATTCCCATCCAAACTACATATCGTCTGTTTAACCACTTTGAATGACAACTCCTTTCAGACATCGCTTCCATTCTTTTCGAAACTCATTGAAAGGAATTGCGATCCGAAGACAACATTTCGCGAACCATTTCTTGTGAATCATATGTACTCTGGAGGACAGGTTTGGGTTCCCGAGGGATCGCAACTGTCTTACAAATCAGTTCATAATCTATTTACAAAATTAGCGGAAACTAATTACAAGCCGTTTAGGGGTCGCCTCCACTGCGGGGCGTTGTCCTCACCCATAGCTCTATACCCAACACTCGAGAGTTACACTCAAATCGATGACTTTGAGACCATTAAAGCCGAGACAAGTGAAGACATGTATATTTGCGGTTTTATGGAGATCGCAGACGTGTCGAGCCCTCCCGTCCACTCCAGACACTTAGTCCTTCCCCTACAGGAATCCAAAGAAGAGGTGAAAAAGTCCGCAGCCGTTATGATCGCCAATCCAAGCAATGCTGCCGACTGTGGATCTGTTGATATGGAAGACATAGTGACGTCGATGTGTTCAGATGAAGGCCGTCAGCCATCCTTTTGTGTTTTACTTCACGGCAGTCTCAAAGTGGAGGGAATGGTCGCCATTTGTCAAATCGGAACTCCCGACTGGTATGGGATGCTGTACTCGTGGGCCGACAGCAAAAAGAAGTCAAACTTAATGCTATCCACATTCAAGTGCGGTTCGGATGCCATTCCATGGATTCATAGCCTTAAGAATCTGGGCTTTTCTTCGCTAAGCATTCCTCAAACGGTTAATGAAATCAATGAAATCAGCGCTAAAAAGAGTTTCAGTCAGTCGTGTGTTGTTTGGCTGAAACTCCGAAAGGAAGTCAGTCTGTAAGTCTTCTAGAATTCTGTGCGGGCTTTTGACGGGCTTTTCTGCCGTGTGAAAATGTTTCTTAATTTAGCGAAGTCTTCTCGGCGGGAAAGCAAACCGAAGATACGACTGATCGAAGGGTTGGCCAGTATTCTGGAGCGCGAGTGCCGAATGTTACCCGGATCTGCACATCCAGAGGCCGCTCTACAACTCACACACGCCGTCACTGCTTTGCGATCGCCCACCGATGCTGACAGTTATAATCAATACATTAGTCCACTCGAGACTAAATTCACCAATTAATGCATTCATTTGTATAAACCTTATTAAATCACACCAATAAATATTTTTTACCATTTTTTAATTGCAATTGTTATTTATAAAGTGGAATAGCTATCAAGTCATTTAGTCATCAATTCTATGGATTTATACTATTCTGTGGTAATGAAGATGTATTAACAAATCATTAATACCGGTAATAATCTCAAAAGCATTACAATAGGTTATTAGATTTTTAAATTACTTTCAATTAATTGTGGTCGTGTCCTGCGGTTTGTCTGCAAATCTTGTTTCACTTTAAACATACCGTACTATGCATTTACATGTTATACCATTTAAGTTTATGCTTAACATTTACTTGAAAAATAGCATAATATGCTAACTATACTGTAGTATTCTTTTATTTTATGGTATTTTATTAGAAATATGTATTCACACGTATATAACGAATTGATGGCAATCGCCAAATTGTGAGATCACTAAATATAGTTTATTTTTAAAACCAGAAATCATTTAAACACACATTTTTCTTTTATTTAAATGTTAAAAGAGTAGTGTCGAGAAATTGCAATTATTTGTCAAATGTAGGCATATTTTGGTTCACATAACATGACATAAATATAGTGTGAATCTTATTTAATTCAAAAGTCATTTGAAATCTTGTTGATTGGTATGAAACTGACAGCACTTTCAACTCGATTAAAATTGTGTGTTAGACATCAGTTAGAACTTATGAACATATAAATCATTTTCTATAAGACTTGATACTGTAGAACCCCCGAAGAGAAGCAGTGCATATATGATAGTAACATAGATCATATCTTTTCCCTACAAAGAATGGGGGTTCCCTTTAAAAGGTTGTTTAGTCAGAGGTTGTAGAGTATGTGATTAAATATGTGATTACATGTTTTCGTATTAGCTTAATGTAAGGCTTTCCTTCAGTCAGACATTCAGAAGATCTTAAGACACGCCCGAAAACTGCCCGAAAAGACGGCACACTTTTACAAAGAATTAAATCGCTTCAGAAGAGCCGCCCTTTCGTTTGGCTTCTATGCGCTGATCGAAGGGTTGGCCAGTATTCTGGAGCGCGAGTGCCGAATGTTACCCGGATCTGCACATCCAGAGGCCGCTCTACAACTCACACACGCCGTCACTGCTTTGCGATTACCCACCGATGCTGACAGTTATAATCAATACATTAGTCCACTCGAGACTAAATTCACCAATTAATGCATTCATTTGTATAAACCTTATTAAATCACACCAATAAATATTTTTTACTGTTTTTTAAAATTGCAATTGTTATTTATAAAGTGGAATAGCAATCAAGTCATTTAGTCATAAATTCTATGGATTTATACTATTCTGTGGTAATGAAGATGTATTAACAAATCATTAATACCGGTAATAATCTCAAAAGCATTACAATAGGTTATTAGATTTTTAAATTAGTTTCAATTAATTGTGGTTGTGTCCTGCGGTTTGTCTGCAAATCTTGTTTCACCTTAAACATACTATGCATTTACATACCATTTAAGTTTAATGCTTTTAAGTTATGCTTAACATTTACTTGAAAAATAGCATAATATGCTAACTATACTGTAGTATTCTTTAATTTTATGGTATTTTATTAGAAATATGTATTCACACGTATATACGAATTGATGGCAATCGCCAAATTGTGAGATCACTAAATATAGTTTATTTTTAAAACCAGAAATCATTAAAACACACATTTTCTTTTATTTAAATGTTAAAGAGTTTAGTGTCAAGAAATTGCTATTCTTTGTCAAATGCATGAATATTTTGGTTGACATAACATGACATAAATATAGTGTGAATCTTATTTAATTCAAAAGTCATTTGAAATCTTGTTGATTGGTATGAAACTGACAGCACTTTCAACTCGATTAAAATTGTGTGTTAGACATCATTTAGAATTTATGAACATACAGTATACATCGTTTTCTATAAGACTTGATACTGTAGAACCCCCGAAGAGAAGCAGTGCATATACATAGTGATAGTAACATAGATCATATCTTTTCCCTACAAAGAATGGGGGTTCCCTTTAAAAGGTTGTTTAGTCAGAGGTTGTAGAGTATGTGATTAAATATGTGATTACATGTTTTCGTATTAGCTTAATGTCTATTCTGTGATGACTTGAAAATAAGTTAGTATTACGTCTACAGAAATACTATTAATATACTGTAAGAATCGCCTCCAGGCATACGGGCATTCATATCGACAACTATCCCATTGGCTATACATTCATACAAATGTGTTTTTACGTAAATAAATAAAAGTTATATTTTTTGATATCTTAATGAAATCTGAACATACCTTTCAGCTCATATACTCACAAGTTATCCCTGAGAGCATCATAAGGCGGAGACCAGGCTTAGTAATCATCCCAATAGTCTCATCAAAATCATAAATATCTTTCTCATACTGTAGTGTACTGTACTTCTTGCTTATTGTGTGAATTTTAATGATTTACACAAAAAGTATTCATTCAAACAAAGATCTGTGAAAGTTATTTACAAAAAAAGTTGAACATTTTATTACTGTATAGTCTCTTTGTTATCCGACATTTGTGTTAATTCTGATTCTAATTGTAAAAATATTTTATAAAAAATAATAAAATTTGCGGCCAATAATGCGGACAAAGAATATTCTGTTTTTTATGTGTTTTGCTGTATTTTATGTAAGTTTTTCCTCAATTATCTAACTATATATGAGATACAAATTAAAATAACATTTCTTAATAAACGAGTCATCCATTATCTATAATTGTGTGAAATTTAATAACTTTTTATATCAAATGAAATTCTGTATTAAAATAATTAATTAATTGTTAATTTTTAAGTAAAATATTTTAAAAACAAACAAACATATTAACTCTTAATTGCAATTAAAATTGTAGTTTTCTTTGGTTTGGGCTCTACCGAAATGGGCATCAATTGGACATCACTGTCAAAGCGGTACAGATTGTCCATTGGATTATTGTTGTGCAATCGGTAGGCAATAAAGTTGTGCAATAAATACAACAAATAGCCATAAAATATTTATATATAGAATTAAATTTAATATAAAAATAATTTTATATTGTGTTTGTTGTGTGAAATGGTGTTGCATAGGATTCGTTCGCTATAGTGTACCACAATGTCAGCCAATGGGTCAGATCGGGGATTGGTGTCGGACCAATAATGAACCGCAAAACCGAACCCTCGCCTATCCTAATGGAGAATCTCATGAATTTTCCCAAATCTATATCCAATTCTGTCGATGCAGTGCTGGACTTGTCTGCGAAAGAGCCAAATGTACTGCAGTTTCAAACATTAATTTTGAATCCACTTTTTTCGATGACTATTTCTAAACAATCATTTTTTGATTGAAGTGAATATCAATCCATTTTTGTAAAAAAATAATTGAGAATTTTTATGTATTCTTTAAATTACATTAAATAATAACAAATAAAATTATACATAAAATAAATGAGTACGGAATATAAATAATCGTTAATTCATTAAATAATACAGTATAGTTAATAAGTAATATTATTCAAATATTACAATAAATAATTAAATATAAATAACAAATTATGAATTGCATAGAATTTATGACCAGTTTATAACTTTTAAGAAGTTTAGATCCTTTTCAGTCCTAATAAAGAATAATTAATTCAAATAAAACAAAACATTCAATTAAAAAATGTTGTATATTAAATTAAAGTTAATTAAAAACTATTTTCTCAAATAATATACTTCATGATAAGAATTGCACAAATTACTGGGACAACGTAACAACTTGCTTTAACAATTAATTGGTAGTCCAAGAACAATTTTGTGAAATTATTTCACTATATTCTGTTTGTGCTTACTGTTAATTAATTATACAGTACAGTTGAAAAATGTGAATAGGCAAAAAACATGAGGCAAAATAGCACTAAATCCCGAAACGATTGCCAAGTATGATATGGTGGTCAGTATGTTGTATAAGAAATGTTCTAGCATGGATATTTCTTGGAAAAAGATATCTACATGGAAAAATTGCATTTCGATTTGGACTTGGGATTCAATGATTATCATTAATCTGTCATCAAATAACAAACATATCCACTGGAATAACAACTACCAAAACCTCCCATAAAAGTACATTCATCGAAAATATTGTTTAAATTAAATGAGATAAATAATTACAATATAAAGTACTACACGTTTGTAAAACTGTAGGCGTAAGGCTAAACAGTGTAGAATATAGGGTACATGTATTCTGCAATACAAACACTTAACACTTGTATATTTTAACCAAATGTCTACAACTCTTTCATATGAATTCATATGGAATTATAATTAACAGTAAAATAATTTGACACAAACTTCTAAACAACACTCTTCTAAACCTTCAAATCCAATGTTTTATTTACACTTAAAATATATTTTATCACATGTTTTCTTTATGATTGCAAATTATTTTTAAAACAGTAGTGAAATACTTATTTATATTTACTAATACTGTATAGTTTAGCATATATTGCAAAATAGCTTAATCATACTTTTAACGATTATAAACATTTATAAAATATACAAATAAATATATTCTTTGTGCATAAAAATCTGAATTCAAACTATTTTTCCAATCTTTAAATGAATATTGAAATTAATCGTTGAATGAATGGAAAAAACGTGACAAAAGTAAAGTGTTTGTAACAAACGTCACATTCAAACAAATCATATCAAAACTTCTTAAAGATATGCTTTTTTGTTTCAATTAAAGTCTAAAAATTGATTGTTTAGTAATTGAGAGATAAGTGCTATTAAAATATGTTTAGAGGTCTAAACATAGTATTGCTATCAATTGCTGGGCAAACAGTATTAGCTTTTAATTAATTGACTATTAATTACATAATACTTAAATTGTCAACAAATTATACTCTTATTGAGACAAGTATTGCGTAAAAGTGATGCAATGCATTGTAATGCAAGGCTTATGTTAGGAACAGCCTATAGGGTTATACAGGGTTATAGGGTTAGGGATTGCAATTGCAAACTGGATTAATGACCACTCATGAGTAGCATTGAGTCTTTGAGTGCAATGTTGTATAGATTAGTCTTGGGATGTGTTGCATGTCTTAAGAAGTGTTGTGATAGCAATGGTATGAATGGTATGACTGAGCGATTGGTTGAGCGGTTGTCTGCAATGCAATGCATTAATGCATACAATGAGTGAATGAGTCATTCCTGCGTAGCCCTGATGTGAGTGTCTGTCGATCTCTACAAACGTTACTTACATTTCACTCAACCTTTCATTTCATAACAATTTGTTTTATTATTATTAATATTAATTGTAATTCACATTAATTTATAATATATTTAATACAATACACACTCTTTGTGTCATTTCTAATCATTTTGATCATCATTTTAATAATCAATTGATAATTGAAGTCATAATTAACGTATAAATTATGTTAAAGTGTTAAACATTGGTTGAAATTTGTAAATAGTATTGAATTGTTTGTAATTATCTGTAAATTGAATAACAATTAATTGAATATCAATCGCAAAGAGTGTATAAATGAGTGTAAACTGTAATGTGTTAACAAGTGATGAGTTTAGGGCCACAAATGCCAGTGAATGGCAATTAAGCGAAAGTCTGATTGACTTAACAGTGAGTGAGTCGTCGACTGAGTTGTCGTTGGAGTCAATGCAGAGTCAGAGCAAGTGTTCAGCCCTTCAGTCAGTTCTGGTGAACACCACTGCCTCCGACACAGCCCTCCCAGACGTGACATACGTTCCCCACCCGACCCCCGGACACACCTCCACCCCCACCAACACTGCACTCAACACACCCTTTGCCTCCAACTCATCGCAAGAGAATCAACCACTTCTTCGCCGAATGGAGTCCGACGTGTATTCAGTGGTGAGCAACACATTCACCGACGACCCGGAGTTCCAGTCCCTCATCCGTGAGGCGGAACAGGCCATCGATAACGGCATATATCCCACACGTATTAAACAGGGCTCGAGTGGCAGCTATTTTGTCCGAAACACCGACAATAATGTAATGTCTTTCTCCCGTATGTTTGCATTCATTGTCTCATTAATTGATTGTTTGTTTGTTTTGTGATTAGAAAACGATTGGAGTGTTTAAACCGAAAGATGAGGAGCCGTACGGTATGTTGAATCCAAAGTGGACCAAATGGATGCACAAGTTGTGCTGTCCCTGTTGTTTCGGCCGCTCCTGTCTCGTCCCAAACCAGGGCTATCTCTCGGAAGCGGCCGCTTCTCTTGTGGACCAAAAATTGCAATTAAATATTGTGCCCAAAACTAAGGCATGTCTACCCATAAAACACATGACATGAATTGATTTTGACTAACCATTGAATGAACGGTTGATTGTTTTGACAGGTCGTGAGACTATCTTCCGATACATTCAACTACTCAGCCATAGATCGGGCGAAGGCTGCGACCAAAAAGAATGTGAACGAGAGGTTTCCCAAAGTTGGCCGACATTTCCATCGCATTGGTTTACCACCGAAAGTAAGTCATTATACGGCAAACGATTTACAATGAAAACGATTGGATAACTGTTTTGTTGACCGAAAGGTTGGTTCTCTTCAAACATTTGTCGAGACCTTTGAAGACGCGATCTTTTGGTTGAGACGTTTTGAAGACAATCCTTTGCCCGAAGAAGTGCTCAAAGAATTTCAGTCTCAGTTCGAGAGACTCGTAGTTCTGGATTATATAATCCGAAACACAGATCGCGGTAACGATAATTGGCTTATTAAGTATCAAAAGCCTCCTAAACCTATTGAGACACAACCGCTCACTTCTTGGAGTCCTAAGCGGTGTCCAAACATTAAGATTGCGGCCATAGATAATGGGCTGGCCTTCCCTTTCAAACACCCCGACGAATGGAGAGCTTGTAAGTGAAGCAAACATTTGATGTCCATATGTTATGTATTAACCAATTACTGTTGAATGAATGTCAGACCCGTATTACTGGTCTTGGCTTCCATACGCCAAACAGCCCTTTTCTAATGAGACCCGGGATCTCATTTTGCCTCAACTTTCGGATATGAATTATGTACAGGAATTATGTGACGAACTCTACGAACTCTTTAAGGTTTGTTTTGCATTCATTAGATAACAACTGTGCAAATAATGTGCCATTTTATTGATGACATTTATAGGGCGATAAAGGGTTTGATAGAAATGTTTTCGAAAAACAAATGTCAGTAATGAGAGGACAGGTATGTGTTTGAATTGAATACACAAATGTTTGTATTGTTTTAATAATTACATAAATTTATGGTTTTCTCTCAGATATTGAATTTAACTCAAGCTTTAAAAGAAGGTAAATCTCCGGTACAATTGGTTCAAATGCCGGCAGTTTTAGTGGAGCGAAGTTGTGGCGCCCAAAGGGGTCGCATACGAGCCATGACTGAGAGCTTTACTCAAAGCTTTCAGCGCAAGACTCCATTCTTCTCGTGGTGTTGAGTGTGATTGACATCGATGTCCACCGATGGCCACCCAGTCGTCCACACTTTGATTTTATTGTTTTCTATTCAACTAAAGATTCTTTAACCAAATGTTAATTTAAAAACATTATTTATCAATCGTTTTATTTTTTGACATAACCTTATGTTTTTAAAAAGTCACTGGAAATACAAATCGAGTTTTGTTTTTAAATGTCTGTGATATTCACAACTTTTCCTGAATAATATCGAGTATTTGTTTCGTTGGAATTAAATTTAAAGTTTAATATAATATAACAAATTATTTAAAACTGATTTCCATATATAAGAGAATTTTGAAACTATTGTTCAAATAATACCAATAAATTATTGTTATGCCTATTATGTTGTGTTCATTAATATATCATATCTTAATGTAAGAAAGCTTTATATGCTTTGAAACTTACATTTATTGCTCTATTAATGACTATTATGTCATAAAATAACGCAAAAGAAGGGAACAAAGAAGTGTTTGTGAAAAAGTTTTATTGTCAACGCATTCACAAAACATTGAGTTCAATGAATGCAGAGACGAGTGCTTACAGTGCATACATCGGCACAATTTGCTGTTATTAAATTCTAAGGCAATCAAATCATATAGAAATCAATGTTTAATCACTGATTGGCAATTAAAATGTGTCAACAAATTAATGCTATATTAAAGTCTATATTTGAATATTAATAGTTGATCACTGAATGGAGAGTAAGATTCAATGCAAAACAATTTACATTAATGTCATAACTAAATCATATCAAATTAGATTAGAAATATTATAACTAAAACTTAAGACACAAATAATTGACTATTATAGAAATGTACAGAGCATGTACATACATAAATATCTGCGAGTGTAAATCAACCTTGTTAACATATAAATGTTAAGTTTAATATTCTTGACTTCATATGCCATAAATTATTTAAAACTTATATTAAAACATAACACTTACATGTTAACATGGTTAATTTAACATTATTATTTAAGTTGGAGATATTTTATTGTATTTTATCGACAGATTAAGATTAATGAGCAGCGAATTTGGTTTAAATAAACTTATTAAATCACCATGGTTAGTCTATAATATTATTAATAATATTATCTAATCAGCCAATAATTATTATTGTCGCCTCAGAAATCTTCCAAACGAAACGAGCTAGATCAAATCTGTAAATTGTAAAATAAAGTTTCATGTGTCCAGTTTTTATATAAAAATGTATTGGAATCGTGAGTAGAGCATTAAAATTTTGGGACCAATGCTGAGGTCATAGTTTTAGTTAACCTGAAGGGGGGGTCGGAGGGGTGGTGTGGGGGCGGTGTTGGGGCGCGTCTGCTATTGTTTAGAGGAGATGTCAAAGTCTACTGAAAGTCTATTTGAAAATTTCAAATTTTGATGGTTTAATGCATTCGTAGACGTATTGTCTGAAAGGTCTGTCACAACACTAATCAACCATTTATTGAATCATAAATTGATTAATGAATTTAAAAATACATTTCAATTCAATTGAATGATCGGTGAATCAAATGATGTGTTTATGAATGCCTTATAATCTATAGTTTGCTCGCATTTCCACTCATTATCTCAATCTGTGACCAATTGTTGTGTGAATTCAATCCAAACAACATTTAATGTTTGTTTGCATTCATTGAACACTTTTGTCTCAATTGATTGTCATCTGATCCCAAGACATGTTGGCATCCAATGAAAGCGCAGACATTTGGGTCGAGACGAAGACCGGCGACGGAAAGAGCTATTACTATAACGCGAAGACTCGAGAGACCACTTGGACTAAACCCGACGCTAAGATTGTCACTCAGGAACAGTTGGCCAACACTTCGGCCACCGATGAAGGTTTGCCCAAACATATGACTCAATTGTTTGTATAATGTGTTGATTCTTCTGCAGCAAAAGCTGAAGACAACGGTAATACCGAACGTAAGGGTGATCCCAACATAATGGCCAACAATGGTATGGGAGCACCGGTTATGGGCGGACCCCCCGGTGGTCTACAACAGCCGCCACTCTTCGCACACCCGCCTCCGCGAGGATTTATGCCGCCATTTATGCATCCGATGTCTCACTCCGGTTAGTCTTAAGCATACATTTCTTATGGCATTATATTTTTAATTAAACATATTTTGATGACATATAAAGTGCCGCCATTTGGTCCGTTTGGTGGTCTACCGCCGGGATTCCCAGCCCCGCCCTGGGCTTCACAATTACCCGTTGTTCCTATGGCTAACTCGGATCCGATTAAACAGCAAATGCTTTTTGACCCGTCGATTGAGCCCGAGATTAGAATCGCTGCCTCGGAATGGACTGAATATAAGACACCCGAAGGAAACAGGAACAGTTGGCCAACACTTCGGCCACCGATGAAGGTTTGCCCAAACATATGACTCAATTGTTTGTATAATGTGTTGATTCTTCTGCAGCAAAAGCTGAAGACAACGGTAATACCGAACGTAAGGCTGATCCCAACATAATGGCCAACAATGGTATGGGAGCACCGGTTATGGGCGGACCTCCCGGTGGTCTACAACAGCCGCCACTCTTCGCACACCCGCCTCCGCGAGGATTTATGCCCCCATTTATGCATCCGATGTCTCACTCCGGTTAGTCTTAACCATACATTTCTTATGGCATTATATTTTTAACTAAACATATTTTGATGACATACAAAGTGCCGCCATTTGGTCCGTTTGGTGGTTTACCGCCGGGATTCCCAGCCCCGCCCTGGGCTTCGGTTAATGGGCAACAAGGATACCGATTGAGCCTAGGCTAATTTGTCGTTTACGAAAAACTGGGCAGCTAACTCGGGCTCTAATCTTAGCGACGGAGCCTTACCTGACTTATATTCTGTGGGCTTCCTTAGTTGTATTATTTTAGTAACAAAACACAGCAATCCGTTTGGGAGAAACCCAAAGCACTCGTCGATTTGGACGGTTAGACACACTTTTGTTACATTACTTTAAACTCAATGTAATACTAATGTATGCAATGATTGTTTAGAAGCGATCGCAAAGTCACAGAAACAGATGGAAGAGAAGGCAAAGTTAGAGAAAGAGATGAAGAACGGAGAGGTAAGGAGTGAGGTATTGAACGAAGCAATTAAGAGCGAACACCAACAGTTGCTTCTCGAGTTCTTTGGCCTGTTTTTCCATCTTGGCCAAGCGCTATTCTGGTTTGGTTAATCGTCATGCGGACACAGCCCATGCGGGACCATACAGTAAACGATATAAAAGATTTGTGAGTTAAAAACTAATAAATTTGTTGGTTTGTGTTCAGGTGTGTTGTGTGGACGGGTGACGGCAGAGTCTTCTTCTACAACCCAAGTACTCGCACTTCTCTCTGGGAATGCCCTCAAGAGCTCCAAAATCGGTCGGACGTCGAGAAGTTAGTGAAAGGACCGCCCAAACAGTCGGACTCCGAAACCGGCGAAAAGAGGGTCATTGAGATTAAAGAGGAGAAACCGAATAAAAAACAAAAGTAATTTTTGATATCCGGTAATCCTTAAAATTAGTATTAAAATCAATGTTTGTGTGATTTAGAAAAATTGAAGAAAACGAAGAGAAAGAGGCGAAGAAAGACGGAACGTCTGAAGCGGAACTGTTGGCCGCCAAACAGCGCGAAACTATTCCTCTGGAGAGGTTGTCAACGAAGAGCTCAAGAAACCGGACAAAAAGGTAGAACCGGTTCGCGATAAGACCAAACCAATTAGCAGTACGCCTGTGTCGGGTACGCCCTGGTATGTCATTTGCTATATTTTCTAAACAAACTTAGAAACTAATAAATTTGTTGGTTTGTGTTCAGGTGTGTTGTGTGGACGGGTGACGGCAGAGTCTTCTTCTACAACCCAAGTACTCGCACTTCTCTCTGGGAATGCCCTCAAGAGCTCCTAAACCGGTCGGACGTCGAGAAGTTAGTGAAAGGACCGCCCAAACAGTCGGACTCCGAAACCGGCGAAAAGAGGGTCATTGAGATTAAAGAGGAAAAACCAAATAAAAAACAAAAGTAATTTTTGATTTCCGGTAATCCTTTAAAATGTCATAATTTTAGTTACAAACACACTAAATCTTTTTAACTTCTTTTGCTTCTCTTTCTCCGCTTCTTTCTGCCTTGCAGACTTCGCCTTGACAACCGGCGGTTTGTCGCGCTTTGATAAGGAGACCTCGAGCGGACGAATATGTTTAAAGCAATGCTTATTGAAAAAGAGGTAATTATCGAGAGAGTGATTGAAATAGTTTTACATTATGAATGTGTTGTTCAGGTGTCGGCGTTCTCCACGTGGGAAAAAGAGTTGCATAAAATAGTTTTCGACGCCCGGTATCTGATCCTAACATCACGCGAACGAAGACAAGTGTTTGAGAAGTACGTGAAGGAAAGGGCAGAAGAGGAGCGGCGAGAGAAGAGGCAGCGGTTGAAGCAGCAAAAGGACGACTACCGGAAGCTTCTGGAGAGCGCAGGTTTGGGTTCAAAGTCATCGTTCAGTGAATTCGCTCAGACGTACGCCAAAGAAGAGCGCTTCAGGAATATTGAGAAAATGCGTGAAAGAGAATCCATTTTCAATGATTTTATATCTGATTTAAGGAAAAAGGAAAGGGAGGAAAAGGCCGCCTCTCGTGAAAAGGTAATAGTTATTCGTTAAGTACATTATTTTTATAATTAATTGATACAAATTTAATCAATCATTTTCTCCAACAAAAACATTTCTACTGTTTATAACGAAACGTCTCTTAACCTGAAATTCATTTTCAGAAAAATAACTTACATTTCATTTCCAGACATAAAATAAAACAACGATTTTTGTGCAAAAATTTGATTATTATTTTCAGATATGCGTAAACAAAGTGATTGAATCTGATTGTGATTGCACTGCTCTGAGGATTACAATTGATTTATTGACTTACAATTGACTTTACGGTACATAACGTTACAATTGGCTTAAATATAAACTATTTATTAACCATTTATTCCATTAAAAACTGAGTCTTTTCTCGAAAACAAATCAACGAATTCTAGACATTATTCTCAATAGAAATTATATTTTGTCTTTGTATCTGCGCTGCGATTATCTCATTATTACCAACACTTAGATTATAATTGATTTAATGATAATATTGTTGTTATTGTTATTAATGATTTAATTCATTTATTTTTAAAGCATTTTTATTTAAATGTTTGAATTTTAATTTTTAGGCGAGAAATGGATTCTTGGAGTTACTGAAAGAGCAGACATATCTGGAGCGCAACTCTTCGTGGACTGAAGTGAAAGAGAAAATTCGCGACGATTTGCGATACAGAGCTCTGGACAGCAGTTCTACCAAAGAAGACATGTTTCGACATTACGTCTCGCGCCTGGAGTCGAACCGAAACAACGGTTCGGATATCGAAAACTCAGATAAAGATATGAAAGAGCGTGAAAAACAGGAAAGAATTAAAGCGAGTCTAATGGAAAGGGAACGCGAAGTGAATCGCGAATTGTCGGCACATCTGCGCGAACGCGACAAAGAGAGGGAACAACACAAACACACGGAAGCGATCGACAACTTTAGCGCACTATTGACTGATTTGGTCCGCAATTGTGACATCTCTTGGAGAGACGCGAAGAAGACCATTAAGAAGGATCACAGATGGGAATTAGTGGAAGCGCTCGACAGGGAAGAGAGGGAGAAGCTGTTCAACGCTCACATCGATAATCTCTTTAAGAAAAAGAGGGAAAAGTTTAGAGAATTATTGGATGAACTGAAAGACGTGACGCTCTCTACTGTTTGGCGCGATATTAAGCGAGAAATCAAAGAAGACTCGCGTTATATGAAGTTTTCGTCCAGTGATCGCAAATGCGAGCGAGAGTTCAGGGAATATATGAAAGACAGGTTAACCGCCGCTAAGAATGAGTTCAGAGATCTACTCAAAGAGACGAAAATCATAACATTTAAGTCAAAGAAGTTGATGGAAGAGTCAGATCAGCATTTACTGGACGTCGTGGCCATTCTTCAGAACGACAAACGCTATCTCGTGTTGGATACGTACGAAGACGAGCGCAGACATCTGCTCATGAACTACATCACTGAATTGGACCGCTCGGGTCCGCCCAAACCCATCACCAGCTCTGATCCCACCCGAAGAACAAAATGAATCCATTATTATTTTAACATAAATTTCCGACAATTTCTTTTCATTACTAAATAATTTGTTTGCAATTTTTATATCAAAATTATTTTGAAAAGTACTTTATTTTATCATAAGTCGCAACCAAATGGATATTTATGTCAATTAATGATTACTTACTTTCATTATCACTCGATTTGTCACTCAATTTATATCATTTTATTAAAAGACTGTTTTTTGAACGCATTTTTGTGTTTCTCAATCAAATCTATAAAATAGCCTAAAGTTATGGATAGAAACGCTGGCATTCACTGACGTTGTCTGAGTTCATGCATTGTTTTTCAATACAATACCAAATATTTTTGGTTCATTTGAATGCGAAATGAGTTATAAACTAGAAGTATGTGTCGACTCGATTGAGTCCGTATTGGCGGCCAATAATTCGGGCGTTCATCGCATTGAACTCTGCAGTGCTCTTGAGGTAAAGTCATGTCTTATCTGTAGATAATATACAATATATGTAACAATGAATTTACTCGACAATTGTTTGTCCATTGAATTGACAGATCGGCGGTTTAACTCCTAGTATTGGTTTAGTAAAGCAAACACAAGAGTTATGTCCAACACTTCCCATCTATGCTATGATTCGTCCCCGAAGTGGAGATTTCTGTTACTCCGACAATGAGATACTTATTATGCAAGTTTAACTCCTAGTATTGGTTTAGTAAAGCAAACACAAGAGTTATGTCCAACACTTCCCATCTATGCTATGATTCGTCCCCGAAGTGGAGATTTCTGTTACTCCGACAATGAGATACTTATTATGCAGAAAGATATTCAACTCATGAAATCCAATGGCGTTAATGGCTTTGTATTCGGAGTTCTGAAAACAGATGGAACTATTGATACGAAGAGTTGCAAACTTTTAATTGGTATCTAATATACAAAATTGAAAACCAATTGCTGTTTAGATTTCAAAATATTTATATTAATAATTATTTCAGAGACCGCATCACCGATTGAATGCACTTTCCATAGAGGTATTACATTAAATTATATTTCACTTTTAAACAGTTTAAAATTGATTATAAATCCCTTACTTTTCGTAAACTACACTATTCGCTACGTTTTCTTAGCGAGCTTCTTCACTAATTTGAACCTAAGTGAGCATAAGACTGCTCGCCAGTCAGCTTATGTCGCCGGTTACCACACCTTTTATAGCCAAAACTGGTTGAATGGGCGAAGAATAGGATCACTATAATGGCCGGCGCGGGTCTTAATGAAGATAACATGGAATCCATTATAATTAAGAGTAAAGTAACAGAAGTTCACTCTTCGGCGAGTCATGTGAAGAGATCGCAAATGTCTTTCCATAATAAGTCTGTATCGATGGGCGCGAAGACTGACGATGAATACAATCTTAAAGTGGTTTCAGAAGAAAAGGTCCGCAAAATGATTGAAATATTAAATAAATTGAAATGAATTGTTTGCCAAACGATGTCAATAAAAGCACAATACAATCGACAATACATTTATTTCTAACTAAAAATTTATTTGTTTTCAATCATAAGCTCTTATAAAATGTTTGAAGAATTAACGAATTAATTGATTGTTTAAAACCATAACAAAAAAAGTTTGCCAAAAATGATTGAATTATTTAATTGATTGATTGGAAGCACATTATTATTGAGAAACTAAACCATTATTTCGTTTATTGATTTCAAGACATAATCTTTTAGTTGTAAAATAACTACAAATAATCTATTCATTGGCCTGTATTTGAAACGACACTTTCGAGAGATCACCCAAACCGGCCTCAATGGTGTCGCCGGGACTGACGGGACCGACACCTTCTGGAGTTCCCGTCAGAATCAGGTCTCCGGTCTCGAGAGTGAAGTATTTACTGATATAACTAATTATTTGCGGAATTTTGAACACCATATCGGAAGTGCTGGCGTTTTGTTTCATATCTCCATTCACTTTACACCACAACTGCAATGAGTTCGGGTCACCGATCGCTTCCTTCGGGATGAAAGAGCCGACCGGACACGACGTGTCGAACCCTTTGGCCAAAGACCATGGATTGCCCTCTTTCTTAGCCAATGACTGCCAGTCGCGTGCAGTCATGTCCAAAGTGACCGCATAACCGCCCACATAGTCCATAGCCTCGCTCTCACTAATGTTTGATCCCTTGCGACCAATAATCACTCCGAGCTCTACCTCGTGGTGCAGTTGTCCGCACCCGACCGGCACTCTATTGTTCCGATTAAAGACATTCACTTCAATACATCTCTTAATACAATAAGTTTGCAATTAATTAAAATATTTTCAAAATAATGAAACGTTATCTGAAATATAAATGGACTCAACAAATAACAATTGCTTAAATGTCTTGCAGTTATCATAAATGACTTCACTTTTACTATTCTCATGTTTTTTCTATTCAAAAGATTGTCTTTTGCTTTAATTACTTATTTGGCTTCAAATGCAATAGTAATGTAATATTTGGTATACTTTAGACAGACTTTGTTCACATAATCGCAAACAATCAATAATTGCAAAGTCCAGGGTATGGGTCGGTATCCTGTTATCAGTGATTGCATACAGACTAAGCTATCAACATATTTGTGCGTACAACAAAAATGACCATGCTTATCAATGATATAGCTATGACCTGGAGGTTAACCCAACCCTAACCTCAATCTCACATAAAAATGGAAATAATACTAAAGTAATAATGAAATGAAGGCTCACTTAATAGGGTTTCCTTCGGTCACATAAGCGGTCGCTATAAATGAGAAATGAATACAATTTAATAAATATTAAATTCAGACAAAAGTCATGATTAGAGACCGGGTTTGAGGAAAATGAGGGGCACTTCTGGTACTTTGCCTCCCATTTCAATGGCATGTTTTCCATAGTTTTTTCCCAAACAAACTATTTTTCGTCCAAATTCAACAAATCGTGTCAAACGCATCGCTTCTTCGTCTATTGGATCAGTTTATAGGACACAAAGTTATCCACAAATTTGTTAGCGAAACAAATTACTGACGAAACAGTGTTTACGACTTTCATAACACACTTACGATCTGTTTATAGCCAATAGACGTCTCTCTCAACACTCAAATCGTTTGCCAAAACTTTAATTAACTTTTTTTAAAAATAATTTTGATTTGATTTTTGAATTTTGATTTAGTCTTTAAATTACAAATAAAATTTTAACGCAATTTTAAGGAATAGAGTTTTATTTGGGTTTATATTCATTAAAGCATTTCTTTCTTATATGTGAAACATGTGAGACATTTGACGGCTTTTATGTCATATAAAATATTGATTTTATTTAAATTTCTAAATATTTTGATTCTGACCTCATTTATAATCTTACAAATAGTTGTTTACGTTATAATCAATTATATTTTAAATTACAAAGTGGTAAAACAATGGTGTTTTGGGGATTGGTTTTAGCTCGTGGTTCGAGTAAATCCATTCCTCACAAGAATAGCAAACTGTTTGCCAATAAACCATTGATTGCATGGGTTTTAGAGCCCATGAAATTATCTGATGGTAATTACAATTTAAATAATTTCTAAAATAAAATTATTTTATTAACATTTATAAACAGTTTTTGATGAGATTTGGGTGTCGACTGACGACGATATGATCGCATCGATTGCTCTGTCCTTTGGGGCGAATGTTCACCGAAGAAGCGATAAAAGTGCCACCGATTCGGCCACGTCTTTGACAGCTGTCCAGGAATTCTTGAATACAGTTAAAGGTTGTGTTTGTGGATTATTTTCATGGATTATCACATATTAATACAGTTTATGTGTTTTAGGCGCCGACCAAATCTGTTTGGTTCAGTGCACTTCTCCTCATCTTCATTACGATTATCTCAGAAAAGCTCACAATTTAATGATTGAACAAAAATATGATTCTGTATTTTCTGTATATAAAAGTCATTCGCTTCGTTGGGATCTTCAACTAAATCCTCTCAATTTTGATCCAAAATGTCGCCCACGAAGGCAAGAGTGGACAGGTATTTGTGAAACTGCTTCAAAGTTACCTTAATTACTTTACACGTGAATTTTAATTTATGAATATATTTTTATTTATTTTAGGTGAATTCATAGAATCGGGACATTTCTACTGTTTTACCACAAATTTAGTCCAAAACGAAGGCTTAATACAGGGAGGAAAGTGTGGTGTCGTTGAGATACCTAAACATTTTTGTGTAGAAATTGATGATATGATTGATTGGAAAATTGCCGAACAATTTATTAAAATCAATATTTAATCAGTTTTTTAATACAAATAAAGTTTTTATAAGACTTAAGTAAACATTTAGAAAAATGATGTTTAAGTTTATTTCATTT